GATTGAAAATTAAAATTTCAGTGTGAGAGCTGCTGCCAGAGCTGAAGTGTTAATCTTTATTCCGGCTTTTAAATAAAACGTTTTAATAGCTGCTTAAAAATATCTTTTTGGTTTATTTGTTTGACCTTAATGTCTTATTTGTTAATTACCATTGTATAATTATTTTTAAACAACCCATTTACTATAAAAACTGGTGATCAGTAACTATCCCGAAATGATCAGGAATTACCCCAGAAATGATCAAGAGAAGGGGTAATTCCTGATCACTAAAAATTTAAAAACTTTTAAATTCTAATTAGATTTTCAAACAAAAGAAGGTAGTCAAACTTACAGTAAATATTAAAATTCTATCTTGAATAGTTTTTTCACAAAATAGATGCTTAAATTTTTTGATCAGGAATCACCCCAGGTCACCCTACTTAAAAAACTTAACATTAATTGCTTAATGCAAAAAAAAAATAATAAATAAATAAATATATAAAATAATAATACAAGATTGATATTAAATAATTCCTCGGCAAATTCCTCGGCTATAAATTAATTCAGGCAAAAATTACTAGGTTTTCACAAAAAAAATTAATACTACCAAATTTGTGTGTGTTTGAGAAATCTCCGAATAGTTAACTAGGCGAGCAATGACAGCTACACTATATTTGAGAAATAAATACAGGTAACTATTTACATAATGATTAAATGATACAAGCTAAAAAATTACCGAAATTGCAAGAACAACAAATATAAAAAGCTTTAATAACAATTTTCAAAAACACTAAAAAAGGTAAACATATGATATTGATACGCTTCCAGTGGTTTAATTTTGCTCATATATGTGTTTCGTAGATCACAACCGAAACTCTTAGTGTTTCAGGTGGATTCACGTTTAATCTCACTGAATGTTTTTCACGCATTTTCGAACTTTCCCAAGAGAGATTGAGAATCAGTTTGATGGAAAATCATTCAGTGAAAATGGAGGCATGGAGAAAAAAAGAGTTCTCCCCATTTCCATATTTATTGCATTTTATTGTTACAATCAGAAGATTCGCTACTAGTTAGATCAGTCATGAATATTTCTCTCCCAATCTCCTATAGGGCTCCTATAGTGATGTGCGATTTTTTCATGTTTTTCATTTCAAATTCTTGTTCGCATGGGAAAAATCGCATCCAGCGAGAACAGTTGTTGAATAGGGTTTCCAGTATAGCAACACTGACAGCCGTCAATGATGACTACTTTTATCAGCCTGTGAAGGGATGAAGGGTGTGCGGTATCGATACTTGTAAAACTCAGAAGCGTGCTCATTGTTTCAGCGGTACTGGGTGAAACATTGAGGCCTTTTGCCAGGGTTGATAAAAATAAGTTGTTTAAAAAATATATATTAAACATTTCATTTTTTTTCTCATTTCAATAAATAAAAAACATAAAAATTCGTTTTTTTATTAAACAATTAAAGCTTTGATAAAACGTATTAATAATACTTAATATTATTCAACAACAATATTCATATTAGTGGTTCTAATAAAAATGCTAATACGAATATTATTGCATAATTATTGCAAACTAATTTCTTAATAAATGAAATCAGTTAATTTTTTTTGTGAAACTTAAAACTTAATGAGTTCTAAAGACAGAGATCCAATTTGTCAAATAAAAAGTAAGTTTAGATTTGAAAACATTTTCAAAAATAAATTATTCTGGGTAGAACTAGTCTTTATTCATTTATAAGTAGTAGATACACTAACTACATATTTAATAAGTTTTGAAATAACTCGTATTTAAATAAATACGAATGAAATTGGGCAAATTATGAAAAGGGCAAATTATTTTGAATTTCTTCTCCACAATCCTCAGTGGAAGGATCACACAATAACTGGCTATAAGATAAAAAATATTTTCATGTGGGAGTGTCATTTATAAAGATTTAAAGAAATTTTCTCAACAAAGAGGAAAAGTGAAAGAAAAAAAAAATTGGAACACAACTATTAAAAAGTTTTGAAAAGTTAAAAGAATTATATTGACAACGAATAAAAATTTTTTATTCATGAATGTATATCATGTAATATGCCTATTTAATTGTTCGTGATACATATTAAACATGAATTAAAAGAAAAGCAACCTCACATTTTAGGGAAAACTTCCAAAAATGAACAGAGGTACTGATTTTATACCGAAATGCGGGGTTTGGGTAACTCTCATTTATAATTAAAGAAATATTGACATAAGGTGCGGCAGTCTACAACCACAGTATTATTATTATTATTTTATTGTTGTTTTTTTGTATTAGTCAACCTATATTTTCTAAATTATAAAGTTTATTATTAAGTCGAAAGTTAACTTTGCATTGTTAAAAGAGTTTCTCCATTGCCAAAGAAATTTATGACTCAACTACATTAAAACACGTTATGTACGTTAAATTAAAAACTTAATATTTAAAACTGTGGTAATTAAAATTAATAATAAAAATTAATATAAAAAAAATTAGTTCGGTTCAGGGCCGAAAGTAAGAGAAGAAACTGGTAGTGAAATAGTTTCATTTACAGCTGTTTTTCGTAAAGAGTAATATGAGCTCTTACTATTTTAAATTATAAGCATTCATCCCTATTTAATTTTGACAACAAACCATCTGATGTATGGGTCATAATTGTTAAAAAAATCTTGGTAGCCATGAAAGTTTTTATTTCTATTTTGCAAGATATAATGAAATGATTTTTTTCATTGTTTTGCTCTCTTCCGCCTTGGGTGTCCCAAAAGGTCGTTTGCAAACTTAACATGCTGGTCTGTCATATCATGATGAACAAGATTTACATAGGAACTTGTGTCCAAAAATTAAAACTGCGACCGCTAGAGGGCGATAATTGCACGAAAACGGGAGAGTGGGAAAAACAATCATTTCAGGCGTGGACGTTGAAGGAGAAGGATGAATGAGTTTAGTAGCGTAGAAATGGCCGACATGCATTACGTATACGGCGTAGCTGATGGAAATGGACGAGCCGCAGCACGGACGTACCTTGAGCGCTTCCCAAACAGACGTCAGCACGATTGCACAGCAGATTATGTGAATCAGGTGCTTTCGTAGCACGTAGCCACATCGGTCGAGAACGTGCTACACGCACACCTGTCGTAGAGGAAACCGTGCTACAGGAGTATGCCATCAACCCGCAAAGAAGTCTCCGAGAAGGCGAACGTGTCTTGGGTGTAGCTCGTTCCACCATAATGCGCATACTGCACGATGACATGCAACACCCTGCTTATTTTGTAATGTACTTTATTATNATAAACAAAAGAGAGGGTCGCACAGCCAGATTTTCCATCATGGATTTTGTTTTCTGATGAATCCTGCTTTACACGGGATGGTGTCGTGAACCTGCACGCATGGGCGCATGAAAACCCAAGATGTACACGTGCCCATGCACATCAACAACGTTTCAGCGTAAACGTTTGGGCTGGTATTATCGGTGACATGTTGATTGGCCCTTACCTTCTACCTGAACGCCTCGACTGAAATACCTATCGCATTTTTTTAGAAAGAGTTTTGCCGGATCTGATGGGTGACGTTCCAGCCGCTACACGCCGAAACATCTGGTTTCAGCATGATGGAGCGCCTGCCCACTTTAGCTACGCTGTTCAAGAATACCACGATAGGACTTATCCTAATCGCTGGATCGGTATAGGCGGACCAGTCCCATGGCCGCCGCGATCCCCCGACCTGACTCCCCTGGATTTCTATCTGTGGGGACACATGAAGTCCATAGTGTCCGATACACCTGTAACATCGGACATGGATCTTATCGCCAGGACGCTGTGAAACGTGCATTGCGGCGAATGGAAGGAATTTTGAGCATTTGCTGTGATGTAATGATGTTTTATAATAAAAGTCATATTAACACCGCTATCGATATCATTTTTTTTCTCCTCATCCAAACCTGCACTTATCGCCCTCTAGCGGTCTCAGTTTTAATTTTCGGACACAAGTTCCTATGTAATTCTTGTTCATCATGATATGACAGACCAGCATGTTAAGTTTGTAAACGACCTTTTGGGACACCCTGTATACTGTCAGCCCTTGTTTGTTCTGCTTTGCCATTTGTTTTACTCCATTTGTTGCATTCCAACAATCACAATGTCTCTCACTATAGTGTTGAAAGATCGGTCTGCTGTACTAAAAGCCTTATTTCATTGTAATGGTAGGAGGATCGCCTCTATGAATGCGGCATTTAAATAAAGTGGACATTTTTATGATTAAAAAAAAATCAGAATTGAGTTATTTCCTATTATATATCGTATAGCATAGATTTATATAAGGATAATAATACGATTATTTTATCATCGTTGAACAGCCGACCCAATTTTGGGTTCACGACTACTAAGGTTCAAATCCTTGGTTAAGGCCTTGTAATTTTGAACCTAATCGAGAGAACAAGGGAACTCCTGGATCAAATATTGGAAGAAATTTGCCTTCTTGGAGGACTTTACGATGGGCGTAACCAGTATTTGAGTTACACGGAGAGGAAAACCACGAAATTCTCCCACGGTTAACCTGACGACATGGAGGCTAACCCATGATCCATTTACCACTGATAATATTTTACGTCGGATGATCACCATGATTGCCATGATCCTTTACAGCACTATGGTCTGGGTGGAATTCGTATCGACTAGCCATTGCTGGGATTCAAACCCGGTTCACCTCATTGGAAGGCGAGCGCTCTATTCCCTGATCCACCACGGCTCAGTTAATACGATTGTAATTACTCTTTGTAACTAGAGATTCTGAAGTTTTGTTATCGTTTGTTTACATTTTGTGTGTACTCATGTTATAACTGAAGTAGCGAATTAACTGAAGTTAACTGAAGTAGTGAAAGTTAACGTCAGTCGATAAAAGACGCAGCTTATAACAAATATTTTTTAGAAAAAAAAATTCTTGAGCAAACAACGCAATTCTTTTAAATTGTTGAAAAAAATTTAGTTGCAACTCAAAATTTAAAAGTTTAACTTGTTGTTACTATCGGATTTTTTATGAAACGAAACAAAATTAAAAATTTTTTGTAAAAGCATTTTTGCTCCCAGTAATCAAGAATCCTTTCCTGATTTTTTACATATTTCATTGTTCTAATAATAAAATGAAGAATTTTTGTGTGTTCGTCTGTTTCTCTTTTAACTCCAGAATCGTTTGTGCTATTTGGACAGTGGATGAGAGGGACAACTTAAGCCTCTTATCCTAAAAATCGTCCGAAAATTTTAGTTAGATCCTCCAGCATTTTTCCAGATATTTAAAAAAATGGAATTTTCTTACTGGCATAGATATAAATGAAATCGCACACGATTTTAGAGATTGCTTACTGAGGTTTATTGCACGTTCTTATTTTTCATTATTTTTTCCTCGTTATGTCAGATAAACTCAATGATCAACACGAGCGTGGCAACATAGGTGGACTGCGTTACCAAATTAGTATTCCTTAAGCAATAAGAGACCATCTGTTCATTATTTTTTTCATATAATTTTGCTTCTAAAACATATGTCTATAAAACTAGGTAATTAAAAATGGCTTAGGCGAGAGTAAAAAATACTCATACTATAATTAACACCAATGATGTTTGATTAATTTTGGCTAATGTGAAAAGCAAAAATAATGAAGAAATGGAACTAGTTTGTTAAGGGGAACATAAAAAAATCGATATACTATTATTCATGCCAATGGTGCTTAATAAATCTTGTTAATATGCACTTTCGGTTTACATGGTAATTGGTGCGATTTCAATCAATACCAAATATACTAATGTAGGAAAAATTAGTATATTTGGTGCCTATTAAAATTGCATTAATACTCTGCAGTTAATAAGCTATAACGCTACAAATATATCACAAACTCAAGCAATAACATCATTCCAAAAGATAGTGAATACAATTGTTTGATGGGATAAACTACTAAACACGTGTTTTTCTTAATCTAATAGTGTAAAGTTCGCAACAAAAGACGAACAATAATAATAAATTGTAAAAAATTAGAATTATTTTAGCTTTATTAGTCATAGTGCATGATTTCACAGTGTTGTTTAGTACTTATTTATTGATAATTTAAGTATTTTTCACCTCGTACGGAGAACAGGTATTCAGCTAGTTACTGATAAAATATTAACGTAAGGAAATTAAAGCAGCATAAATTCAAAAATTGCTGCATAAAATATAATGACACTGATTTAACAAAACAAAATAAAAAATAATTCGTTTATAAAGAAATTTTAATTAATGAGGTAAATGCTTTAAGAAAAAGCACATCCATATCAGTAATTCTTTTTATAATTATAAATTTTGCACCGCATTTGTATTGTCCAAAAGAATGTAATTTTTTCATATTTATTAACTTTATTTTCATGTTTATTAATTTCAAATAGTCTTTATTTTTCCCTACGCTATATCTAAGGAGATAAAATTTTTATATATTTTTATTATGTGAAAATAAAAGTTTTATAAGAATTAAACAGATTTACTGCTTAAAACACCCATTCGCTTAATTTTAATATATTTAAATATCGACAATAAAAAAAAAGTGCCAAATAATGTCTTAAGTACATTTTTAGGGAACGCTAAAAGAGAAAGACTTAAATAAATAAATTTATAAAGTAAATTTGATTATAATTTTGAGCTTCAACTTACCATGGAGAGTGAACTCAAAATCCTGACGCACTCTTGATTTCTTTTTAACTCCTCCTCGACATTCAATTAATATAAATAAAACAAAAATATAACAAATTTTTACGACTAAATACATTTTTATAACTGTCTTGAAAGGAATCTTGGAATAATAATTATAAAATTAGGAGTGACACTAAATTGTTTCATTCTATAATCCGATTTGAGGTAACATATTGTTTTGTGTTGATTACTGTCAGGTGAAAAAAGACAGAATGAAGAACTGGAAACAACTCGCAGACGATTCTACGATGACACCTGTTGCTCATTTTTTATTTAAAATGCAGGTTAATCTTTTCGAAATTAAAAACATCGCGTTAGATATTTTAGTCGAAATAAGTCGTTTGAAAAAAATATTATTATTGTGCTTTCATCGAGAATCGAAATATTTTTGAATAAATTTGTTAGAAAAAGTTATTAGTCAATGATTCGTCGGAGCAAGAAAACTCTGAAGAATAACTTTTCTTCCACTGTGTTTAGGGTTGTCTGACATTTCGAACAAAATCGCAGAAAAATAAAGTGCGGGATGAAAAAAATCTTTAAAATTACGATTGCATGTAAAAATCGATTATTTCAATGCTACTATATTTATTAAATGGCACTCAATGGATTATCTAATGTTTGTGATGAAAAGATTTTTTTTTCAGTCAGAAAATTAGAATAATTATTTTTAAGTTAATAAATGTTACAGATATACTTAAGTAAAAATATCTGTTATAAATTTTTCAAGTATGTCATTATAAACATATATTTTGCATTTATAATATGCTTTAAATTATTATGAATAAGTAATTAAAAATTGTCGGTCTTTGTATTTTAAATTTCAAAATGAAAAAGATAATATTGAGATAGTCTGCTAATATTTATAAAAACAACGCCTGTACTTCATTATAATAATTTAAGTTTGCTTTTTACATTTACATACATTTAAGTGTTATTATTATTTTTTTTTTACTTTTAAAGAAAGAAAAAAGTTCTATTTTAATTCCATTCATAAAATCTGCAGAAGTGTTAAATCTTTTTAAATTATTTAAGAACAAATTACAATTACAGAGGCAAACGGTTTCGCTCTTTTTTTTCGGGTGGGGGGGGGGAGCTAACTACTGAATAATTTGCTTAAAAAAGCGTTGATTTTCACCTTTAAATTATTACTTTCTAATTTTATTAATTTTCCAGATTTTTTTACTGCAATAATTTAAAAAATAATTTTAACATGTGTATTTATATTTTAAAGTTTTTTTAATGAATAACTTGAATGCCAATTATTTTTTTAATTTATTTTTCTAGCTTTCAATTATAAAGCAAATGATTACTTCGAATTAGATAGATTTTAATTCTTATCATAAAATTAGAATCTATCAAATTATAACAGGTTTCATTGATAATGAATATAATAAAAAAATCTTTTTGATAACAGTAATTTAATAAAATTCTTTTATAAATTGTATTTATTAATATTAAAAATAATAATCATAATATAAGATTTTTAATATTAAATATAATCGGAATAAGGTTAAAAATTGCAACAAACTAATTTAATAATTTTATATTAAAGGAGAAATAAGTTCATACTTTTAAAATAATTTCTCTTCTTTTAGATTTTTAAATGCAATAGCTGCAAGCAATAAAAATTTTGAATCTATAAAAATCTTAATTTTAAATCTATAAAATCATAAATTTTAGAATTTTTAAAAGTTTAAAGCTCATTTATTAAATTAATGTTAACCGTGTAATGTTTTTTCATAAGAGGAATGTTAAAGAAAAAAATGAATTGAAATTGCATTTGTAAGAAAGTGGCGTAAATTATGTGGAGAAAGAATTCTTGTTTTATGCGATCTTGATTACTTTGGAAATATGTAGGCCGCGCCGCCGCCTTCTCAAGCCGGGAGGCCCATACTAAGTATGGTTTGGACGAATAAGGAAGACCACAGATATCACACTAAACCTGTTCATTCATAGAAGCGTAGGCACAAGAAAGGTTTTGAAATAGACATGTTTTTATTTATTCTTTTTACAACTTCTTACTAAACAGGAAGTCAAAAAATTCACTGTTTACTCGTAGAAATTAATGAGGATTTTTAAAGCTTAACTATGAAACTCAAATAAATTAAACATTTTTGATTGGTATAAAATTTAAAAAAAAATTTCATAAAGAAATGTTTCGAGAAACTTATGTTTTTTTTTAAAATTAGTATTCCAAAATTTTTTATTAAAAAAATTTCAGCGGGAAATTATAGGAAATAATTATTACTTAAAAAATAAATGTAAAATGAGTTGAATAATAACAATAATCTTCTTATTTCAAAATTATAACAATAACATTTCATTGAACAAAAATAATTTCTTTCCAAAAAGATATGAACTTTGTTAGTACGAGGGTTGCTATTTATATTTCTGGCCTTGACAACAGTAAGTGTTGCTAGGCGACCGTAGACGATTTTAATCGGAAGTTTGAGATTTTTAAACATAAATTCAGCAGACGATTTACCATTATAGCTTCATTTGTGTTGTTGACTGAACATTTCAAAAACGTTTAACTTCTTTCACCTTTAGATTCATTATTATCCCTCGAAGAATTAGTTTAGACAATATTTTAAGTTACGAGATAACCATAACCATTTAAGTTACGAAATCAGTCACAAAAACGTTAATTTTTTATCGTCGAATTCGGATTCTTTGCGATCGAAAGTTTGGATTCCTTTATGTTGATTTAACTTTTTGCGTATTTCGTTGCATCTTGGGAATTTTTTAAGTGAATCGAAAACATTCCTCCTGATCCCGATCTCAGCTGCGGTTGGGAGAGGTGGGCGAAAACCAGTTTTAAGAAGATCTTCATCGCCTGTGCCCCTAAATGCTGTCTTTTCCTTTATACACAGATCCCGTCTCCCAACCCTTGGGAAAGTGATTTA